TTAGTGCTGCAGGGTAATTACCTGCGCTGCGGTGTCCGCAGAGAGGCCAGTTGATGCAAAACGCAACTCAACAAAGTTCCGTCCTTAGCAGCCCCTTAACTAACAAACTTGCAGTCTTACAACAGCGCAACTTAACTGTGGGAAAATTAGAGGTTTTGTTTGTTTGTCAATCCACTGCTGGATTAAGGTCTCTCTACACTTGTGCCATTCGTGTATGGGAGTCGTTTGACCATACTTCACCGTGCGGGTCAGCGCAGGTTGCGGAAGGCGGTGTCACTCGCCACTGGCCCTAGCCGTGGCCGGGAATCGAACTGCCGATGGGCCAGATTCTTCGCGTAGTATGCTAACCGATGTGCCACCGCTCTACCCCGCAAGCCAAACCCTGCGCTTACTTGTTAACAATTGTCTGTCATCGTAAAACAGCACACGTGGTGTCATTTTGAAGGTTATTTATCGTTTTAGAAAACGTGGCTTTCTCTACGTATGTGTATTGACAGTAGAGTCAACCTGCGGTGCAAGTGGACTAGTGGCCGCGGGAGGTAATGACAGGGGAGTCAGCCTGCAGTGCGAATGTACTGGTGGCCACGGGTATGATCGAGGATAGGGGCGTGGCCAGGTGACGTAAGAGGACGGTGGTAGATCCAGTGGTCTAAGGCCAGAGAGAAGGTTCGGGAATAGGGGCGTGGCCACGGGACAGGGGCGTGGCCACGCACCCTATATGAGGGGAATAGGCGGGAGACTTGGGGCTGCTGAAGTGGAGTCTCCGCCTGTCCGAGTGTGAGCACGTGGCTCCCGAATAAAGAAACCATCTGAAGACAAGTGCGTCAAAGTCGTCTTTACATATGGAATGAGTCAATGCTTTGACGCATACCTGAAACTGAATACACCATCGCCATCCTAGCGTGGATCAAGAATAGAAAATTTCGGTCCAACCGAGTACATCCGACACCATGGCGCGTTCCGAGCACTCCCCCACCGATCGGCATGATTGCAACCCCGGTCGATTGACTTCAGATACAGGTAGCTGTCCTGCAATTTCTTACGAACGCCACTGCCGGCAGAAGGGCCCTCCCTCCACGCCAGAGGCAGCTCTTAGGCAAACCCCCCCTGTGGACGGTATTTGTCCGACTCCGCAAAACCCAGGTAAAAAAAAAGCCACTTCATAATTACACAGGGGGGGAGGGGGTGGGACAACGGGTTTTGAGGGGCGGAGGGGGGTAACGGGACGGCTTGGTGTTGGCGTGCTGGCTTCGTGTGCCAGCACGCTCGGACGGCGCTCTGTCTGTTCTTCACGGGAGTGCGACACCGCTGCGCCTATTGCGTGTTTAGCGTGGACGGCCACGTCTCCAGGCCGTCACGCGCCCTCCGTCCGAGCTTCACGTTCGGCGCCTTGGTAGAGCGGAGCGGCTCGCGTTCGGAAGCATCGCGAGTTGGCATCGTGGTTGCGGCGGGGTTGACTCAGGCCATCATCCCTCCTCCGCGTACCACTTCGTAGGGGAAGTCAACCTGAAGTTGACCTCTGGAGGGACTCGCCACAGCCATAGTAATGTGCAATTCGCCACCACTGGGTCAAGGTAGTAAACAGAAGATGAGCACCAATACCTCATTGGTCATTCGAGGTGGTTATCGCCGTGACTATTGAATTGTGCGTGATTGTGGTGTGGATGAGGTCCACCAGATACCCCTGATTGGCTAATCACTAAAGTAACCCAACAAAAAATACTTCAATTAGTTCAACCAATACCTTATTGTTTTTATCGCACACATGTCACGACGCATGAATCTGAGCTACCATCATCATGGTCGTCATCATCAAAGCCATCTGCAGTAAAAGATCATATCCTGGTCGCTAAGGGACCTTAATAATGCATGCGTGAATCTTAGAGCCCATGTAAACCAGGGGCAACACGTGTAACCTTTCATATTTTAAGAGAGTCGCAGTGTCTTACGCGGGATCGGGGACACGTGCGGTCAGCCGATTAAGAGAAGGCAATGAATGTCGAATGGCATCTCCTCTGTCGCTTGCGCCATTTTCACCTGGGCTGGGACATCGCTGCCGCAACTCGAGTCACGTAGATCGGCAATTACTCCATGGAATGTTTGAAAAGATTAAGCAGATTGTTGCCTCTGCCTGCGGCGTCCCAGTCTCGCTCTGCCGTACTCTCCCTCTCTCTCCCCCTCCCTCCCGAGCAGGGTACGGCGACCTGCTCGTGTAATCTCCACAATCTCCGCTCCTCCATGCCACCCGTTGGTGGTGGGCGGTCTCAAATTACATCTCTGGCTATCCCCGGTATCAGAACATATACATTTGTCTCCTCAACCGACAGATATTTATGCCGCCTGGGAACCAATATTTGTAGCACCACAGTATCTTCTCATTTGCAAACAGAACTTTCATGTCAAGAACCCTTCCCAAACTCTTTGGGGATAATAAGAAAAAAACATCGACTCGTGTATCCCGGAAAAGCAAACCGAGTACAATTACTCTTTTTGTCCTGAGGGTTTCGTGTGGTATTTGGTCTACTCTTCCACGTTGACTTGACGCGTTGGAAGACGAGGGACCAATAATAACTATACCCCACCACACCGCCACCTGCCAATCGACTCGCTGTGCCCCACGCATGGAGGCTGATTTTTTTAGCCTTGCACCGTTGTTGCAAATGCCGCGTCGGGAGATGGTGTCGAACCGGCCACCTCTGGGTTGCAAGTCCAATGAGCTGAACATTACCCCCGCAGTGGCAGCTCCCTGTATACATAACTAGAGGGGGGAACACGTTCACTGGTGGGAACAGATATTCGTTCCCCCTGGGGGGACACGATTTTGCGGACGATGGGACCAATAATTAGCGACATGAGCCACTTCGCCCCTTCTCACCTTCGTCTATCACTACCTCACCCCGAGCAAGGGCCATCCAGCCCGGTGGCACTGCGGTGAGGGCACGTGGCTCACAATCAGGAGGTCATCAGTTTACATCTCCGTTGGGGGCCGATTACGCCAATCGGCAAACCCTTCAGGGTCGATAAAGCGAGCACCGCCTGATATGCCAAGGTGGCTCAGAGGCGAGAGCGCTGAGCCGGCAGCGCTGAGACCTCTGGCTGCGAAATGGGACACCCTCCCACGGTGAAACCGCCTTCTCACGCGGGGCGAGTCCACGTGCTGGGCCAGGTCACCGGTAGCTGAGCAAAAAAAAAAGTCACGATAAATTTGCTCTTTCACTGAACTTGATAACATTCCAGCTATGAGTAATTGAGGTGTTTTTTGGGGGTTACGTGTGAAACATTCCAGCTATGAGACTAACACGTGTCGGTTTGATTGACATGCGCCTTGTGCATGGCACATACCACGCGTGCCCTCTCGTGTGAGTACAGAGACGCGATTGAAGTGGCCGTAGATGTAGCCCTCTGATGTGATCTTCCTGGAGCTGCAGAGTTCCCAATGTAAATGTCTTCCTCTCCTTTAATGACGATGCCGATGGCAGAACTGGAATATTATTGTGAGTGGGGGGGGGGGGGGGTTATTGTATTATTATTTTGTAAAGAAATGACCACTTTTTGGGACGTCAACCGTGGAGACACTGGCCCTGGTCATGGAATCGTGGAAATTCCACCACTGTAACAGGGCGACCAAAGTGCGCGCTTTTTCCCATTCACGCACGGAATCACTTTGACTTATCATCGTCATCATCATCATCACCAACGTCATCATCAACATCACCAACGTCATCATCATTATCAACATCCTCATCATCATCATCATCAACGTCGCCATCATCATCGCCATTAACAACGTCATCAATGCCATCATCATTGTCGTCTCCGTCGTATCCATCATCAACCCTTCCCGCATAGCCGCGCCATGGCGGCACAACTCCACTCGGCCCCTACAGCTGCAATCCATTTAGCCGCTTGCACGCTGCGCCCCCCCCCCGCTCCCCCTGGCTCCGGTTACCTCCCCGTGTCCCCACCACCACTCCACCCTCCTCCTCCCTCGCACGCCCTTCCGCCGTGCTCCGCGCTCTGCCGCTTATATAGTTTTACACATTCGAACTCCTTTTCCAAAACAACGGCGGGGTCCTCTTTGACGAGATACGCAGGCCTCGCCCGAGAGCCGTGGCCGGGAATGTGAATGCTGGGCCACGCTGGGCCACGCGGCTCACGCCCGGTGGTGGCGGGCGGGGTTCCAGCGCCGGTAAGGTCCTGCTGCAGCTGAAGTTGTTGCTGCTGCAGCTGAAGTTGTTGCTTCTGCAGCTGCAGTTGTTGCTGCTGCAGCTGAAGTTGTTGCAGCTGCAGTTGTTGCTTCTGCAGCTGCAGTTGTTGCTTCTGCAGCTGCAGTTGTTGCTGCTGCAGCTGCAGTTGTTGCTGCTGCAGCTGCAGTTGTTGCTGCTCCTGCAGCTGCAGTTGTTGCTGCTCCTGCAGCTGCAGTTGCTGCTGTATCTGCAGCTGTAGTTGATGCTGCTGCAGCTACTACCGCTGCTGCACTTGCAGCAACTCTTGCTGCTGATACGACCGTTCTTCCCACCGCCATCTATGCTGCTGTCCCATCACAACCCCGTGTGTGTACCCAGAGCCAGATTAAGTTTTATGGGGCGGTCTTCTTACTGGGGGAGGGGGGGCTAGGTGTTACAGTCTCATGCCACTCACCAAGTACTTACACTTAGCACGGTTGGCTACGTACGGTGCGAAAGAACATCTTCAGGAGCGGCTGGATACATGGACCCCCCCCCTATTCCGCCCCTCAATAGTCGCTCCCCCCCCACCACCAGCCAACGATTTGCCGTGCCCAAGGATCAACGAGTGGAGAGCGTGAGAAGGCAAACTTGGCGCGGAGAAGACTGCGGTGGAGATGGCTGCAGCGAGACGTCACTACAGAGTTCGGAGCCTGCTGCTTGGCATCAGCAGCAGCAGCTGGGGGGGGGTCGGAGGGAGCTGCAGAAAGTGAAGGGAGTGGCGGGGGGGGGCAAGCATTTGCCCAGTAGTGGGAAGTCACCGTCTGACAACAGCAACAACAACAACAACAACAGCGACTCCAAACAACAACAACAACAAGAGGAGAATCGATCAACGGTGACTGCGGGTCTCGTCCTCTCGCGGCTGCCGCGTCAAACGTCGCTGGCGGGGTTCCGGTGTCTGCGCGTCCTTTCACGACGGCATCTCTCGCGCCCGTTCGAGTTCAAAGCCCACGGAGCCCCCCCCCCACAAGCCGCGCTCGCGGCTCTGGGGCGGGGGCCGCCTGTGCGTGCGTGGGGGGGGGGGCGTGACGCGCGCTCAGAACCGCGTCTCGTGACGAGTCCGCGTCATTTCCCCACCGAAGACGCCGACGAGTCCCAGCACCCATTTGCCCACAGTGGTGGCGTTGTTGCGAACTTTTTGTTAAAAAAAATATATATATATTTTATTACTTTTTCAAATAAACCACCCTTGTTGTTGTTTTTTGACGGACATTTGCCCGCGCATTCCTCCTTCGGGATGACGCACGGGCGAGCAACATCGCTCCCTACCGGAACCACTCGATCCGTTGCGCGAAACACGGCAGCGTTGTGAGTTGGCAGGAGTGCTGCGTCTCGTGTAATATTGGTCAGGATATTGAAAGTAAAAGTTCCGTTGCCAATCCACTGCTGGATGAAGGCTTTCACACGCCGTCGCAGTCGAGGGGAGCTGTTTGGCCATACTTCACCACGCCGGTCAGTGCGTGTTGGCGAATGAGAGGCAACGCCCAGGACCGGTTCAGATGTGTCTCGCCGCTGATGTTATCCGGGATTCCAACTCGAGTCGCAGAATTCACAGTGCGGCGCGCTAACCACTGCCCCACCACACCCCACGCCCCAGCCTCTCTAACCATACAAACGCGTGAGTCTGGATCATTCTTTTGTCGTGCGTAGGGCGGTAATACGATCCAGTCCTCCTGCAATTTCCAGCCACACCCAACCTCTCATCATCCACCCACCCACCACATTTCTGTCGTCTCATTAAAGAACCTTCGTTTGGCTCTACGAGGCTCTGGAGGTATGTCCACTCACTGGGCGGTCGGGAATTCCAAGAATCTCGCCCGTCCGTCCGTCCGCGTGTCCGCGTGCCGTGCGACCGCCCTGATTGTGTCTCAATCAGGGCGCTTTAGCGAGCACATGGAGGGGGTGGAGGGGGAGGGGGGTCAAACGAAAGTTCAGTTCTCGGCGATGTCTCTGCCTCTTGATGAACGCTTTGTTGACGCAGAGAGGAATCTCACGATTCCTTTTCAGAAGGATAATTAGTTGCACGTGTAGACGACATTGTGCCTGTGTGTGTGTTAATGCAACACGCTATGTACCTGGTGACCTAGGTTTGATTCCCAACCCTTGTATAACACCAGCTGCAAGTGGCTATCCGCACCTGGCTTGGCCCTCCTTTAGGTCAATTCAGCCTTAAGCGAATACCCAGGTGCTGTTTGTGAACATCGGCACTGGAGTGGTGTGGGCGTGGTGCTGGTCACGTTACCTTACATTCATCCTCAACATCATCACCACGGTCAATCCACCGCTGGATGAAGGCCAGCCCAAGCCACCGCCCCCTCCGAATGACCTACAGCACCTCAGCGTTTACACGAATTGCATCGCTTCTTCATTCATCTGTTACCACATCTCGCTGCGTGCCATTCCGTACTTAATACTAGGCGCTCGCAAAAACATCACCTGCTCCCCAGCTGTGTTTATGGCTCCACCGGACAGGAGGTGGGAGGAGGCGCCGTGGTGGTGGGGGGGGGGGGGGAGTTCACGTTCTACCCTGGTGTCCACAAGGTCGCGGGCTCGGTCCCGACTCTGACGCTTCCGGTTTTCCCCCTCCACATTTCGAGTCAACGTGACCCGTTGAGAGTATTTGACTGCCATACATTTCCACGTGGTGGTGAGCCACTTCGCGTTGAGCGATCATTTGTGGCCACGTCGCTTCTGAAAGAAAGCCACATATCGCCCGGTGGGACTTACCTGGTGAAATAACAATCGGGAAATAGGTAAATAGACGGCCCGGGTGGGGTTGGGGGATTGTTGTCACCGCCACTGCCACCTCCGTGTCGATGGAGGCAGTAGCGGCTCTGCGTGGCCGTTCCCGTGACGCCAAGCGGAGCCCAGGGACCGCCCTGATAGCTCGCGGTAGGCGGGACGAGGAGTTTGGAGCGGAGGCAGCGGGGGCGGGGGGATGGAGAAGGTGGCGGGGCACGATCAATCCACTGCTGGACGGATAATGGCCACTAATGTTTAGATGGCAGGTGCTTGTCACGGAACATTCCTGCGGGTTTTTTCTTCGTCTTTTGAACGCCATCGCCAGGGCGTTCATGTGACGCGAGGCAGACAATTCATGCATTTCAATGGGTTCTGCGTTGCTTTACCGTGTGCGTTTGCCTGGGGATGTATTTAGTATACAGTATATGTTTTTACATGAATGGATATTGCCAGCTATGGTGATGTCATGGATCAGAAACGCGGACAATTAACGCAGCAAATGGAACAAAAACTTAAGAGTGATTGTAGCGCTGTGCCCTCTTATTGTTTACTCCTTTTGGTAGGATAACAATTTCGACCCCCCCCACCCTCCCGAAACGACGCGCTGGGTGCGCCCCTGCCATCGCCTTCACGAAAATCCCCGAAACCCACGGAATGATTAAACATCCCCCATGGTGAACACCACGTGGGAGGACCTTCATCCAGCAGTGGATCATCAAAGCGATACCAAAGGCGGCAATGTACGAGTATATATTGACTGTGGTGCCCCAGGGGGTTGTGGTCACGCTGGCTATCTGTGGGCGCACTACCAGCGGTGGTTATCCTCGGGCAGATAACGCCGGAGCTGCCACTCGTGGGCCAAGTTTTTTTGTTTCGTTTCTTCCGGTGCTGGCACCGCAGCAGCCCGAATGTCCACGTGACCTGCGGTGCGGCAGGAATTCAGGAAATGAAACTGGAGCGAGCCGATGAATAAACGCGCGGCGTAGATTTGACGTGGGGAGACGTTGCGCGTGTGCGTGCGACTCACCACCTCGGCGCCCGGTCACGATGCAAATTCTCACACTCGAGATGACGAGGGGAAGTTTCCGTACGTAACGAAACAAATACAGCCCTACATCGGTAGGACCTCTTCGTTCATCAAAGACTCTGAAGATCTCGTAATTATAATTAAAGATATTAACCCTAATCATATTCCTAATATATTCCTAATTCCTAATATATTCCTAATTATATTCTCGTAAGTTTTGATGTGACCTCTCTGTTCACGAGGGTTCCGGTCAACGAGTCAATTAAATTACTCGACAGTCTGGTAAAGAACAAAGGTTTAGCCAAAGATATCTGAAGACTAGCTGAACACTGTCTAAAGAACTTCTTGTGGCAAGGTGACTTCTAGAAACAAAAGAAAGGAGCAGCAATGGGCTCTCCTTTGTCTCCAGTGATAGCGAATTTGTACATGGAAGATTTTGAAACAAAAGCAATAGCTTCAAGCACACTGAAACCATCTGCTTGGTTTAGATATGTGAATGACACATTGGTGATCTGGCCACACGGCAAAGATACACTGAACGCATTTCTAAATCATCTCAAGTCGCAAAACACATCCATCCAGTTCACCATGCAAGTGGAAGCTGACAGAACTTTACCATTTCTGGATATTCTGCTCGGACGGGGTCGAAATGGTAAAATAACACACAGTGTTTACCGAAAGAAAACGCACACTGACGCCTATCTGAATGCAGAGTCACACCATCACCCCGCACAGAAATCTGCTCTTATAAAGACGCTCATTCATCGAGCTAAGAAAGTGTCAGATGGTGACAGTCTGAGAAGTGAAATTCAACATGTTAAAGAAGCGCTGCAAATGAACGGTTACAATGATGCACAAATCAAAAGGGCATTGAATGCCAAAACCAAATCAAATAACACGAGCATTGAAACTGCCCAAGTAATTAAAACGATCAAAATACCGTACATTGCGGGAGTAACTGATCAACTAACCAGATGTTTGTAGAAACAAAACATCAGAGTCAGATTTGGCACGGTACATAAAATACAGAAATTAATATCTGGTACAAAATATGTATTACCGAAGCTATCAACAGAAGGTGTGTACAGGATTAACTGCACGTGCGGTACATGTTATGTTGGGCAAACAGGACGAATGATCAGCACGAGACTAAAAGAACATCAGAGAAATATTAAATTCTCCCAAATGCAACTGTCCGCAGTAGCAGAACACGCGTGCCAACAAGGACACTCAATTGATTTTGATAATGTTGAAGTTCTGTGCAAAACTAGCTACTCCTGGCCAAGACTAATTGGAGAATCTATCGAAATTGAAATAAATAAAAAATAACTTTAACCGTTCGGATAGCTACCGCCTTAGTGCTGCGTGGAAGCGAATAATCAAATAAGACATTGTTTAAATGCATGCCTACAAAGGGCAGCGTACTTCAATAGGGATTACCGTTGGTAGGGCTATTTTAACGCACACAATAGACAGGAAGGACAAGTTAAAAGGGCTCGCATGATGCACATGCATAATGACGTTTCCTCAGTAATCCCCCCCCCCCACACACTTTTTGTGCAGGAGTGCAGAAGTGTGGTCACCACATCTACTGTACGCCTCTAAATAAGGAACGAAACAGACTTCTCCACAAATCTGGCTGTCGCCTGATGGAGCTAGTTGTAATTACTGGCGAAACGTCGTACTCAGATTGTAAATATTGTGGCTTGGCTCTCCAACACACCGGTGCTGCTGTACTCGTGACGAATTGGCCACGTTCTGTTTACGTGACAACCCTTACTAGTTGGCTGTGTCGGGTGGTGGCGGGTTTTAACGACACATTTATATACTTACGCGATATAACCCAAAAGACGTCTATTATTGAGCATTATTTATCATTATCATCATCATCGTCAGCCGTGATCAATTCACCGCTGGATGAAGGCCTCCCCAAACCGCCGCCATGGGTCCACGATCCTACGATGAGAAAACCCCACGCAGATGTTTAAAAGTCATCATCATCAAACTCCACGGGCAGAAAGCACGTAGG